CGAGCGAGAAAACGCGGATGGCTAAGAATTAGAAATCTTTTAGGGGAGAAAAGGAAGTAGATTACTGAAGTAACACGGCCGCTTCTCACTGTTTTTCTTGGCCATATTGTTCTGGTGATCGGTGCTGGTCGGCCGGTATGAATCATTCAGCTCCTTTCACCTACTTCCTCTGCACTCGTGGCAATTTATCTGCCAGAGGCGTACGACTGATCCCGCGTCTGATTTCCACATGGAAGTATGTATGACTATGGCTCGAAAGACAGCCAAGGGGAACGAAAATGTGAAATGATCGCAATATATGAATGCAAAATAGTCGCCTAGAGAAAAGGACTGGTTCGGGTAATGAATAGGGTTTAAAAATGGCCGGTAGACTACTGGTGCTCTGATCTGCCGTCAAAACACGTAGTGAGGAATAAAAACGCAAGCGATGTGATAGACGAAATGGTGTTATTTTATTTTAACCACTGAATTTAAGAGATCAGTAATGAGTTCGAATCATATTTTGTATGTTGCGCTAGGCTTTGATCTACGAAATTCCTATCCTATAACACGATATCCTAGTATTACTTTGATGTGTTTTCTTCTACTTGCAGGTGTCCCGCATGCAGCGATCCTTACAGCCTCGAGCCACGTACCACCATCTCACCTTGTTCAACGATCACCCCTGTGAGTACCTTTGCTTGTATATATCTTTTCCTTGCAAGCAGCCAAGCCAATCACTTTGCATAATAAAAGCGTGGCAATCCTTTTTTTCGAACAGGAAGGAGTGAATTATAGGTGGCCTGTGAACTTAGATGCTCGCGCGCTCCGTTCGAAATAATGAAGGGCGGCAGTGAGGGGAAAGGGCGGAGTGTTTTGACACAAACGAACGCACTGCGCGCGGCAAATGCCCATATGGCTTTTAATCTCACATGGAGTCATCACGGCCTAGTGTTTAATATGCAAAGACAGATGTTCACAGTTAATACGAAAAATGCTGAAGTATCTACCATAGAGAAGTTGATTCGTGATCTGTAATTGTGTCCATATGGCATTGACGAGAAGATATTGTTGATCCTAATTTGGTGTGAAAAATTCTAGCAGGAATATCAAGTTCAATGTGAAATGCCTTGGAACAACAAACCACTTATTTTTGTGTATAAGTACGTCCGTCGTAGAGCAGGTAAAATGTATTAAGAGTTAGAAACTCTCAAGAAATCTTAATTTAGCGAACCGATGCTTTCGTAATACGATACGAAAAACTCGATCACGCGTACAATCTACTCGTGTGATATCCTACAGAGCTTGGGTCAACTGTTCGCGTGGATGGCTATACGTGACACAGCATAAGATTTCCCCTGTTGCACGATTCCGCCGCTGCAATGCTGTTAGCCTTTGATCGAGAAGCTAACAAGCATAAAGCAAAAAGATACGAATGTTAGATTGGCTCTTCACATTATGCATTAGGTAGGACGCGGAACGATTTATTCATTAATTGAATGCGATTACTGCAATATCTGTGTTCGCTGTGAGTCGTTCAACAAACTGACTATATAGAATATTATTAGATTCTAAAAGATGTTTTAGAACACTCATGTGGTTAAAAGGAAGTTCCTCTTGATGATTTGAAGTTCTATGTTTACTTGCTGAGTTACCGAGCATTAGTACCCACACCTATTAATACTCAATGCAGACATATTCTTGAATGTAGAATGAAGAAGTACATTCAAGTGCAAAAAGAATGACATTTGCATCAAGTAAGGAAAAATCGAAGTGCCTATCACGAATACGTGCCGTTCCTTATGGGACATAGCCTCCATGGAGCTGTATAACACGAATGTTTCCGGCCGTCTCTCACATTTACGTAATTGTATTCAGCTCTCAACAGACAAGTACGTGCTTAAATGGGTCAATTCTTAGAAAAGATGTAAATAGGAAATCAGGTTACGCTGTCCAACGTGCACTCGTTACATTGCTTACTCAGCCAGCCATATTTCACATGGATGCGCTTTATTTTACGGTTTAAAAGTGATTATTTTCGTGTAATTCACGGTTTAGCATCGGTTCGGTGTGCTCCAGGAACAGTTAGTTGCGTTTGGGTTCATTTCTATGATTGCTTGGATCAGCTTCCTAAAAGATATAATCGCACCCTATTTATATGGCCTGTGATTTTATCAATTCCGACGATTATATATCTACGAAACAGGTTAGCGTTCAATGTAAGCTGTGGATTTTTTTAGGAAGCAAACTGCTAAACATCTTTCTAAATGCTTCGAGTAAACAAAGCACGCTGTTCAGCGGTCCTATAGGCCAGCCAGTATTTTATTTTTAATAAACGCATTGAAATGATTCATATACCTATATCATTGTATCAATTAGAGAATTGTCCACTGAGATAGCAGCGTCAGTATCCTAATGTTGCTAGCTACTAGCTGCTATTTGATCGACAATCTATAGTACTTCTAGGAATGTCAATTCCAGAACTCAAACGTTGGAAACCGTAGGCTTCACGTAACGATCGTTGAAACTGAGGTACGAATTGTTGCTAGAAACATAAAACAGGTCGTTCATTTGGCGAGAGTGTCCTATTTAAATAACATTTCCTGGTACTGTCATTTTTTTTTTGACGTACTTTACTCGTCTATCTAACAACTACTACACAGGGTTGTATTTGAAAAGAAGATGTCAAAAAAGCAACAACGTTTTAGTCATAAACAAGCATTACTGAGTAAACCATACTCGTTTTGATTCTTGTCTATAAATTGTGCCTGCATGATAGGCATTAGAGCAGTCTGAGATTATTCTCGGGTGGTCAATATAGCAGCAGCAGTGACACTCATGGAGAACTTAGCGCGATTGACGTAAAAATGCCTCCTTTACGAGCTAGGCCATGTTTTGGCTGCTAATAATGTTCGGTTCAGCTTGCAACGCAGCTGTTCAGCGCGAATACCGGCGTTCTCGACAAATACGTCATGGGCCTGTTTGCCAATGATATTCAATAGTACATCTGTTTAGAATATTTGTTTGAATAGAAAACCTGTTTGAGCGGCCAGCTCAGGATGGTCTCTAAGTAAAACTAATTCCGTCTTCTCACATATCCTTCCAAGGAGGTATTTTTTTACTATTTTAAAGGCCGAGAAATCTATGTCTACGCGTGTACAAGTGTAGATCAGTTATTTCTCAATGGAAGGTCTCGAATGCTTTCTAATATCAGATAGAAGATCTAGCTTTACGTATGATGTAATGAACGCAGAGATGTAACATTTAAAATTCTAACATTGGCTGGTGGTTTCTTTGCAGCATCTAGCTTGGTCACGATGCTGAATGTCTTCACCAATCGCGAGCTACAGGTAAGTGTTTCGTATAGGCTCGTTCGGTGGTTATTAGCCAACTTACAATGTTTCCAGCTGGAACTGACTTATGAGATAGGTACTTTGTGACGAAATATTGCTTCCTTAAAATATTGCGTTAGCACCAGCTTGGCTTTCTCCACAGAAATGTAACCCTAAATACATTGGTATTTAACTATATTTAAACATTAGAGAACGCACGGCAACGCCTTCAGCTATTGCGAACGCACTGAGTAGTATGAACTGTGCAACGTAAGTTCTGTTAATAGATGCTCAGCCAACATAACGTAACATATAGATACCATTCTTATAGTTACTATATATAATAGTGTTGTTCTTTGGTTAATTTTTCCCTATAATTTGTTCTATTTGAGTTTAACTTTGGCTTTTATGTTCTGTTTTTGCTTGGTTTCTTATTACAGAAATTAATTCTAACTTTCTCTGACTACTACGTTAACTCTTAGCGTCGTAATTTCTTCCTATTATCAACCATTACGATTGTGGTATTATTGTACATTAATTCATGTGGTAAGTGTCTCCTATTGGTTTGGCGCTGGATGAAGTAGCTATTTTTTCCATAGTTAAGGCTTGAGCCTAAATTGGGTCTGCCTCTTCGATTATTGCTGTTGACTTTATGCATACTTTTTTTAATCTGCTCAGTTATTGGAATGATCACTTAACTTTCGTTACCTTTTTGATTTGATTTTTCTCTGATTGATGAAAGCTTTTAAACTCTGGAGGATGAAAAAAGCTTTAATTTATGAAGGTTAACAAACACCATGCCTCAGCTACAGCGTTAATTTGAAAGTATATGCGAGGCTACATGGGCAATTCCTTTCTATACACTGACTTTGGGGAACGAAATCATATACCTCTTTTGAACTACCAAGATATTATGTAAATATTTCGTTAGCTTTGTTTGATAATAGTTTTGTACGTTAGTGTACTTTTTGGTAATGTTGACTGGGTTGAAGAAAACGCTCATCGCTGCTAATGCATTGATTATTTTTTACATAAAATTTTATATATATAATTTTACATATTTTATATGAATTTATATATATAAATATTATATATATATATATATATATAAAACCAATCAAAACGACTACTAGGGTCAATAAACTAACATATGTGCTCTTTTATCGGGTTTTTCATGTGTCTCTGCTTGTTTTGCGGTCTGCTCTATCTTACCCTTACGCTGGTGATTTTGTGGGATTCGGCGACCGTCGTGGTGCTTGGGGCCTGCCACCGCCACCACAATCATCAATGACAACACCAAAACTGCCGTCGCCGCCAATCGATTGTTGCCACTTGTTTTCTTGTTGTTGTTGTTGTTGTTGTTGTTGTTGTTGTTGTTGTCGTTGCTTGTCCCTCTTGGTTACAGCTGCAGTTGTACTGCTGTCGCGGAGCAGAGGTGGTCGCAGTCGACGAGGTCGCAGTGAGGGACATTGTCCAGTGTGGGGAGGGTTTGCTAAGCAGCAGCACATCCGCAGGCCATCTGGCGAGCCACTAACCAACTGCCGCCAGGCCTCATAGGTCCTGGGCAGGCCCAGCAGCATCCCGGGCCAGCGACTCATAGAACACCTGTTGATAAGAGCAACGACGACGACGACGACAAGAACAACAACAACAATACCAAGAACAACATCAACAGCAGCAGCACTACTGACAAAAACAACAACAAAGATAACAAGAACAATCCCTTACATAAGCAGCAGCAACAGTAAATCAAAAAAACACAACCATATGTTACTTAGTAGTCAAGCTACTCTTAAGAACTGAGCACGAAAATCACCGTGAGAGGAGGTGGCGTGCCAACAACGGAGTGAGCGACTTGACCCTACATAAGAGTAACAGCAAAAGATTCAAACCACACGGTTAACACGGAGATTGCTACAGTAGTGTCCATTGTTACTACGACTAGATAGCCCTGCAGCGAAAAAAAACTCAATATCGGATGAACCCCACTACAACATCCATTAATATTCTCATTCAAGACACTTTCGCCGGTGTTCGACGACTGTTTAACGAGGACGGAACGCAGAAGCCTGGCTGGTTGGCTGATTGACTCTGCTTGATGCCTGACTGACTGATTGGCTGATTGATTGAATGATTGATGATCTGGCGCCTTGTGGGTAGTTTACTGAAAGTAATCACGTCCTAAGTCTGCCGTTGCCCGTCTTATTAAAATACGGAACAACGACGGCGGCAGCAGCGACAACAACAAGACCAAGTCCAAGTCCAAGTCCAAGCTAATTGAAAATAAGACAACGGCCGGCTGTAGAAATCGAGTCGAGGCTCGAGCAGTGTACGGCAATTGCAGGAACTATAGAAAACATCTTCAACAGCTTTTACTTAATCGTTAATCACCGATTAAGAAAAAAGGCATCATCCACCAATGATCGAGTGGTGTCACGTGCTGCTGGATTGTTGATGATTGTTCATCGATCTTTTACTCGATAACATTTCATTGATCGGCTAGGTTTCTGCCGACCGATAATTCACTGTTGATCAATTGTCTAACTTTGTATTTCTCTGTCGTCTGTGCGTGACCGAAGAGTCTAAGTGAAGGGATTGAAGAGTCTATTTGACTGTTGTTTGGCTGACTGTTTGCCTGTGGTGTACGTGTTAAGCGTGAACGCAAAGCTGAGCTTATGTGCGAGTTTAGATTTTGATGAGAGACAAACGGAAGTAGTAACAAACTGAGGACGGCGACGACAACAACAAGAAACGTCCATCACCAATTAAGCCCTTCAGTTTTAGTAACGCTGTCCTCCGCCACTGGTAACTGGCAACGAGCGAACAACTGTTAGGACCGATCTTTCGTATCCACCATTGCAGGGTGATATTATGATAAGAAACTTATAATAAGCACGAGAGCAACGACAATACAGCGACGTAATAACCATTCATTAATTGTTGAAAAAATCACATTTTATTGCGTCAAGAAAAGGGGCGACGACAAACCGTAAAAATGGCTTCGTTTACGGTATCGGTGCAGCAGCTCCGTGAATTGATGGAGACTCGCGGAGCAGAAGCTATTCAACGGATACGGGACGACTACGGAGGTGTCCAGGAACTGTGCAAGTGAGTAACTAGACTTTATTAATATAGTTTACTAAGTAAATACACACGTACCGCTATAAATCATAGATGTCTCATAGTCAAAGTATCACGGTTAAGTTTAATATCTGAAAGTGCATCTATGATTAAAACCTAGCCAAGACTTTCATTTGAACGAGCAATATGCGATAGCTTTGAAAATAAGATTTTTTTCATCCTTGTTTATATCAACATGTTATCTAGGAGTGCGTGGTGAAGTCTCACTTTTATAGTGGTGTCTCACATTAAAGCGTCCTTGATCATTCCACTGAAGTGTGTTGCTTAGTGGCGCAAAATCGCACTATTCCTCAAAACTTTTATAAACAAACATAAATGTTGATAATTACTGTCAGTACTGTTTTTTGTTTGAAGTAGATTTTTCGGAGTTCGTGCATATGGAGGCGTCAATATGATAAACATCAAAGAGTATCCATGATGTTGGGATAGTTATGGAAAGAGGGCGAGGTGGTTTGTTGTCCAACGATGTGTACACTCTATCGTAACCTTTCTCAGTTAGCAAGCCGTTCTTAGTTGGTTCTAATCGTTCCACAGTGACTGTGCGTATCTGTCATTTATATGATTACCTCGCCTGTCGGACTTCAGTAATATCTTGTTCAACTACCTTCATGCTATTTGTTCATGTTGCTACTGCAAATCTAATGCTTTTTCTTTGGTTTTTGGTAGCACCGACAGCCTTGTGGTAATGCTTGAGACTAACTCTCCTTTGCTAACGATGTGTGTCTTCAGGAAACTGCACACATCACCGACGGACGGTCTCACTGGCGATGAGCGGGACCTTGAAGGGCGTAGAAATTTCTACGGAGCTAATTCGATTCCACCAAAACCGCCTAAGACATTCTTACAGTTAGTATGGGAAGCTTTACAAGACATGACGCTAATTATTTTGCAAGTAAGTATCACTAATCGCTACCAGTCATCATTACTATTCATCTTTATTAATCATCTTTATTAATATAGGCGTGTGTGAAATCTTTAAATGTGCAGCGCCAATGGTCACTTATTCTAAACGTTTACATATTTTCACGAAATTCGGGTTGGTTGTCATAGCTGGCATGTTCTTAATCTGTACGTGCGTTCTTCATCCGATCTTTAAACACATTTGTATTTGCCTGTTCCTATGTGCGAATGCAATAACTCTTTGGCTATCGTTTCACAGGTTGCAGCATTTGTATCGCTGGTGCTGGCATTTATTGAACCCGAGCACGGCGAAGGGGAAGGTGATCATGGGCTCCCAGGAGAAGAAGGAGGCGATTCCGAGGCCGGCTGGATAGAAGGAGTGGCTATTTTGGTCTCTGTCGTCATTGTGGTACTAGTCACAGCATTCAATGATTATACCAAGGAACGCCAATTTCGAGGCCTGCAAAATCGTATAGAGCAGGAACACACATTCGCCGTGATTCGGAGGGGTGAGGTGAAGCAGATCGGGGTTGCAGAGATAGTAGTTGGTGACATATGTCAGGTTAAGTACGGAGACCTGCTGCCCGCGGATGGAATTATCATCCAGTCTAACGATCTCAAAATTGATGAATCCACTCTTACAGGTACGAATTACATATATATATATATACTGAAAAGTTTTGGTTTTGTCGTTGGTCAACATAAACGTGTGCGTCACAGTTATTTTCTCTGCGCTTACGTAGCCATAGGATTTATTTGTAAAATTTGTAAATATTTTGCTATGTGACTATATATATATATATCCTTTTATTCACCTTAAAGCACATCAGTATTGTACCTCTATGATATAGCCCATACTTATACCTGAAAAATTAATTTAAGCCAGTTCTCACTTGTTAATGCGGGGCACTGACTTGCAGGAGAGTCAGATCACGTGAAGAAAGGAGAAAATCAAGATCCCATGCTATTCTCTGGTACTCATGTGATGGAGGGCAGTGGGAAGGTTCTCGTGACTGCGGTCGGCGTCAACTCGCAAGCTGGTATCATCCTTACGCTCCTCGGTGCTGCCCACACGGAGGGCGCCAAGGAAAGTGGTGGCAAGAAGAAAAAAAAGGGTGAGTCTCCACGTCCCAGAATCGCCAAGCAACGACAGACAATGGTTAAACAAACAAACCTGTTTGCGAGTCTCTGTCGGTCTTTTGCTCTCAGTTCTTGAATAAGGCGCGATTGCGGGACACTCATGAAAATATAAACCTGAAAACCTTTACAAACAAATATAT